AGAGGATGAGAGGACGTTGAGAGCAAGAGTGTGTGTGATTAGGTGTTTAGAAAATATCTTTGTGGTGAAAAGACCATTTTACTCTTAGCTCCTTCCTTTTTTTCACAAATCAACCCTTTGGCTATTTGATTGGGACTTTTAAGTGAGTTAGGTCCAAGTGGATTGTGTTACACACTTAATTTATTTTAGGGTCTTACTAATTTTGCATAATTATACTTTTGCCCCAAGACTTTTAATATTTGCATTTTTACAATGAAAACTGACTTAAGCTCAAAATTTGACCTTTCATCAAATTAACACTCTAATTACATATTAATTTCTAATTAATATAATTTAATTATTCGAGTTATTATAGGTATGCTAATCAGATAAGAATTAAATATTGAAAATCAAGTTATACATAATGATTTTATTTTAACAAAGTATGATATTTGATTGATTATTTAGTGATAATGTTATATAAGTAAAATTATAGTTTTGAAAATATATAAAATAAGAAGATTTAATTTTGAAATTGTTAAAAATTTAAAATGCTCAAGTAGATTTGATTTAACTTAATTTTAATTTTCAATTATTTTAATTAAATATTTTCCCTTATTAGTTTAGTTATTTTATCCACTTGATTTGTCTTAAAATCATATTATTAAAAGTAAGGATAATAAAATAAAGAATTTAACTTATCTCCAGTCAGATTTTCAAAAAAATTCAAATTAACTTGATGTTTTGGACTGGTCTTATTGGCTCAGTCCAATGGACCGGCCATTAAGATTTATATAAGTAGTCAATCCCCTACATCTTTAAAGTGATAATTTTAGACCATTTTGTAGAGGATCATATTCTCATGCACAAGCACAACTCAAACCTCACATATAGATGAATGTGTTTGCCTTACACAGCCCATTAAGGCAAAACTGTTATGGCTCATTCTCTTACTCATATCCATCTTCTGTTATTGAAGAGATACCTTCAATACACTATTAAGAGAGTTGTATGACCAGACTCATTGTGCCCTCACACACAATCCCCCCTTGCTATCATCTTTTGCTTAAGACTATTCATGATGACTCTCTATATTCATGGCCTATATCATTGTCTCTTTGATTAGTGTTACATTGAGATACTACACCCCTTTTTTAGGGAAATAAATCTAATCTTATTAGTCATTACTGGAAAGTTCACTAGTAAATAATTTTTAAACATAATAAGTAATCTTTAAATCAAATTACATATATTTTTAAATATGCTAAGCATATTGTATCCGTCATATGAGTAAACTTTTTCTGCAATTGGATCTTATGTTTTTTGTGGGCCATAATATGTGCTACATAGTATAAAAAATGTCATTAGGGACGTTTGGTAGAAGAAGAAAAAATTACCAGGGAAATACAATTACTAAGAATATGGTGGGAAAATAAGTTTGGTAGGAAAGTTAAAAAAAAGGTTGTTTAGTAGGCCGAAATATCACCGAAAAAATTGGGTTAAGTTTTCTAAGTCTATGTTTGGTTGAAGGTAAAATATTGATAGGAAAATGGGATAAAATTATCAAATCAACCCTTGACTAAATATAAAGAAGACTTTCTCTTTCCAACTTTCTTTTGGCACTTTTTTTAAAAAGGGATATTTGTGTCCATTGTTTTTTTTTTTTACTTTTTGATTTGATGGGGTAATAATAATACCACCCTCTGGGTGGTATTCTGAAATGGCAAACCACTTGTACAAATTACATATAAAATGATAGAGGTAGCTTATATTTATAAGCTTTTTATTTATAAATTACACTATGTATTTTTGGGATTATATTCATAATCAAGTCTATTTTCAAGAATATATAATTAAATTTATAAGAATTCACAAAAAAAAAAATTATAAATATAATATTTTCCAAAACGATAATATATGTTATATGTTTATTAGCAATATATACGCTACTCACAGATAAGAATCTCACACTTGTATGAGAAATGTCACGGGGTTTGGTAAATGGATAAGAGTTTGCCTCATTTGCTAGGCAACTATGCCGATGTCATAATGCATGCTGCTTACCACAGAAGTTGTCCCTCTCTATATATATATATATATAAGAAATGATCTTTTTACAAAAAAATTTATAAATTACACTAAGTATGACCGGTCATACATTCTTGATTGAAGTATAACCGATCAGACATAATATAGTTTGTAAACAAAAAATTTATAAATATAACCGTCGTATATATAATTCAACCATTACCTTATATCACAAAAAATATCTGACACCCATTCGCTTATATCTTTACCCTTTTAATTTTCTTGATGAGGATGGTTGAAAATATTGATGTCGTGACACATGGTAGACAGTGATTGACAAAAATTTAAGTTATTCTAAATTTGTTTATGGTGTCATTCTGTGAAATGTTTAAGTTGGACTGTATAGTAAGATGCCTCCATACAGCTATACCGTAAATGGAGTCTTTATTATTATAAATTTTAAACACGGATGCTTCATGTTGCATGGAAAAAATAGTTGGGAATCATCCTCTTATGTGTAAATTTTTATTTTTGGTAGATATTAATGGGTGTTCGAAATTCTAACAAACCTGATTAATCTGGTTTTGAATTTGTATTTCTCTACTTTTCCACTGTATTCTTAGGAATCGAATTCATTACCGGTAAAGAATCAATTCAATCCAAAAGCTTAAGTTGTTGGGTGAGACTATTCCAATGATTTTATATATCTCAACATGCCTCCTCACACGAGAGCTCACTGGATTTGAAGGGTGGACAATACACAGGTCCACCTACTATGCGAAGGAAGAAATTCTACTAGAAAGAAAGTGGAGGCGGTGATGATCGAACTCGGTGCACCGAAGTTCTGATACCATGTAAAGAACCAATTCAAGCCAAATATATCAATAATTTTATATATTACCGTCTGAGCAGATTAAATCCTAGAGTTTAGTTACTTACCAAACTCTTGGTAGGAGTAAATTTTTCCATACTATATGACCTGATCATGAATAAATTTTGTGTCTTTCTTGATAGACTTTCACAAATATTAATAGCCCCTACCTATTTAATCCTATTTAATCCTTGTATTCTGTTATCCTTAATTGTGAACAAAGATTAGCTCATCGGATCATTTTGTAATTATAATAATTACATGATTGAATTTTAATTTTAAAAATTTCTCATTAATAATTGATTTATAATTACATAGTAAATGTTCACTAAATTTAATAATATATATTGGGATAAGTTATTCTGCCTACTCTTATTTTGCCTACCTTTGCCTACCTCTCTTAACACCATTTGATTACAATTTCATCCAATAGTGGAGATTTGCGGAATAAAATAAACATTTTTCTTCATTCTTTTTCCTTACCGCCTCCCACACTCTTTCTCTCTATGGATCTGTGTAATTTACAACGTGATTTTATATTTGAATCTAAATTCATTCAATGATTAATGACATGACAGTTCTGCTGGATGAATATAATTTTATATAGTCTTTTGATGAGATTATAATTTATCCGTATTAAAAGGGGTATGCAAATATAGGTAAAATAAAAATAGGCAGAATAACTTATCTCATATATATTAATTTTAAGCTGAAAAATTATGTCTTTTCCTTCAGCTTTCATCCTCAAGGTTTTTTTTTTTTTTTTTTATAATATTATCTCCTTTCGTGATTACTAGTTGAACTCACTTTTTTTTGTTTTTAAAAAAAAAAGTTTCAAGATTTTTGTATGGCTATCAAAGCCTTTGACTATATATTCAGTTATTCACACATATACATGTTATGTATAGTTGACACCTGTAACTAATTAAAACAAAAAAATGAAGGTGTTATTCATGAGAAGCTCACAAATATATTGTTTTCTCCTTCAATAAATTATAATCTATATTATTATTATTATTATTATTATACAATAATGATACTGAAATTTAAATCTATGACTCCATGCATTATCCAAATCCCTCACCAATAAATCCTAGTGGCATATAATCCATCTTATATATATACTAAATTAAACATTTATCACAATATATTTATTATATCAAAGTAATTATTGTCATAAATCGTTTTCCCTCGTCATTCACTCGTAGAATTTTTATATAGTCTATTCAGTGAAAAATGGATCTTTAATCAATTTGCTTCCGACTAACCAACCAGACTACACATACCAATATCTGCGGTGGACCAATTCCACGTTATTAATTGCCCATGAAAGCTACTCTTACCAGTTGTCTTTAAATTTAGCACATTTTTGAAAGTGACTTAGATACAAGGATACAAACTCAAATTAAGTGTAATTAAAACTGGAAGTGTAATTAATGTTATTATAGACACGGTTTGATCATGATGAACATTCATATACTACCATATCCATATATATATTGTTCAAAACAAGGTTAGTTCTGATTTACACTATATATATACTATAGGACACATATATACCGTATATGGCTATTATTACGGTGTTGAAATATATTTATTATCTTTTGAAAATTAATATTATCAATATATTGTATAAGGGTGATAATTTGTGTTAACAAAATCATGTGTGGATTGAACCCAAATTCAACACAAATATGAATACTCTGAATATGACACGAAAGTCATAAACATGACCCATTTATCATATATATGGATTGAATTTACTTTGTTGAATAAAAATCACTTAAATAATCTCAAATTGATAAATAAAAGTGAAGTTAGTGTAATAAATATATAATTATTTAATTTAAACATGTTGACACGAACATGACACAAATACAAATATAGTTAATACAATCACAATACAATTTTTTTGGGTCACTTGAAAAGAACATAAATACAAATTGAAAAGAACATAAAAAATCCGTGTTATGTTTGGGTCGCGTAAAATTTGCAACCTTAGTATTGTAACAATCAATTTGAGGAAAGTCATGGAACTTGATTAGGTCTGAATTCTTTCTATTAAGTTTTGTTTCAATCTACAAATAAACACCCAAAGGCAGAAAAATATTGTGAACACTAATTAAGACCTTATTATATCTTCATGCTGGTCAATAATCTCATTCTGACCATCTGATAGATACAATGGGGAAGAAGCAAAAGATGAAACAGCTGAGTCATATGAAGTGGAATGATTAGAACAAGAATCACGAGAATCTTCTTCAGCTAAACTAAGTAGCAAATCAACAAAAGCCAACACTATAAACCCATGATTGTTCTTACCATTAACCCTCAAATACACACTCAAAAGCTCCTCCAAACACTTCCAATCCTTTAATCCATGAGTCTCCATCATCTCCTCCATTGACCTTTTGAAGTCTTCATATGGATCCTCTGACTCCATAGCTAGCAACACACTTTCCTTGAATGGAAACACACCAACCTTATTAGCATTCTCCAAGATTGAGCTTGTGTTACCAGGCTCAAAAAACAGCCTCTCTGACCTCACCCCACGTAGGAACATCTCCAAAGATTCACCATCATAGTTGTGTTCTGAGTCTGCTGAGAAGCTTGCAGATTCAGACGAGGTTGTGAAACAGGACTCATGGGGAGTAGTTTCAACTGTGTTGATTTCATGATCAGGGTCAAAGAAGACAGTGTTAACTTTCTTGAAGATGTCATCACCAGCTTTGAAAGGAAGGGTCTTTTGTTGGCCACAAGAGGGTAACAACTTCCATCGATGATGCTTACTTGGTGGTGATTCCTTGGTTTTGAACAGTGATAGTAGTTTCAATGATTTCTTTCCCATTAGAAGGAGGAAGTGTTTGTGCCTGCAATAATTTTGGTATTAATAAAGAAAAGAAGAGGCTTAGACAAGAAGAACAAAAGAAAAAAATGTGGCAAAAACAATTGGGGTGTTATAGGTGCTTTCTGGGTGAATTTAATTTGAGGGTTTGTAAAAGTCATTGTCAAGCCTTCTACAACTGTGAATTTAACAGTTCTTTTAAAGAAAAAACTTACTCTTAATCTTCCCTATCCATATTGCTATTAATAAATAAAGAGAATGTGTTCGATCCCACAGTATTATTTTTTAGCACGATTTATAAGTTTTAATCTCGGGATTCGTTTTAAATCGGACTAATCGCGAAGCGATAAATTTATTGGTATTAAACCAAATCACTTCCCGATAAACCGATTGGAATATCTCCAAATAAAAAATTAATAGAATATTAAAAAAAAACTTAACTTTGAAATATAAATCGCATTTGTTTTATCATTTTGTTTTGTATGTGATACTTGAAATAGTCATGGTCTTCTTGATGGTGGCTATTGATAGTAGATGATGTGTTTTATTGAGAAAATATCTTTCGCACTTCGGTAGTACTATTGAAGATATACTATATCATTTGTTAAAAATTGAAAAATATAACTCATAATTTTACTTATTTCACCAACCTCTTTTTGATTTATAACATTGAGTCTTATTTTTTCCTATTTTCAGTTAAAAAATATACTCTCATAGCACTGAAGATATGTAAGTGATTGTGGAGAGGATCTTAACAAAAATATGTAAATGATAAAGATCCCGTGAGGTTATATGTCCAACTTTCAGGTGCAAAACACATATAAAATTTTTTATTTAATAATAGGAGAATTATTTAGAAAATATAGCAAAACACTCTCAAAAGTTGTCGACCTTGGACCCAAATTAATGGAGGATATTCTCTCTCTCAACAAACAACTATATGATTATTATTATTATTATTAATTTATTATATATCTGTGACCTTTCGAGAATTCATTTTTTTATGGACAAGGAAAACAAATGTTCAAGATTGGCCGGGAGCACAAGGAGATTATATCAAAAGGAAACTTATATAGATTAGTATTTGGATTTAAAACAGTATAGTGGAATATAACTTGCCGTTTACTAGTTTGCTCAGTGAATTTGAATGATGAAAAATGTTGAAAACAAAAGGAAATTAGTGCCCTTAGCCTAGTAGTTCAACTGCCAGCTCCTCCGTTTGTAACAGTTAGGTGTGATGATAAAATCATAAATTCCAATTTTATGCTATGTCGGATTGAATCTTCTCAATCTAACAAAAAATAAAGAAGTTTATTGATTGAAAAGGACAAATATGGTAGATGGAGAGAAATCTTTGTGGATAGTAGATATAAGGAAAGAAGCCTATTTAATGTGGATCGCGCTTGCCAGACTCATACTTGTCATAGGTTTTTATTAAAAAAATAAGATTGAGACCTAAAACTGTGTTCTCCGTACGTATTTGCTAGATATTCTCCTTGTGGCCCCATTTGTTTTTATTTTAAATAAAAATAAAAAACTATTTTTAATTAAAAACATGTTTGAAAATTTTTATGATGACTAGATAAATTTCTTTAAAAAAAATCTAAAATACAAAATATATGATTTTAGTATGTTTCTTATGAATTAGATGAATAACTTCTAAAAAGCTATGCCATAATTTTTTTTTACATAAATAAAAGCTTATACAAGCACCCCTGTAATAAATAAAGGGTTTTATTAGTGTTATGTTACATGATTTAAGTGTTGTTTCCAACACACACAAAAAAAATGGAGAGAGAAAGTGGAACGATGAAAGAGAAAGTAAAACATGTAGACCCCACCTCTTTGATGTGTGTGTAGGAAAGTGATGTTATATCATGTTACATGATAAACATAAAACCCATAAATAAATTAAACATCATTTGAGTAAGGATAAAACCCTTTCGCAATCACCACAAACGTACGCTCTATATTCAATGCCTGAGCAATTCTTTTTTTTTTTTTTTTGGAAATAATAGGAAATTAAAACAAAAACACAACAAAAAGAAACTAGGCACAAAGCCTAGACCAGTGAACACCTATAGTGTCACCATACAGACTATCAATACAACCTGACGGTGGACAATCAAATTCCTGAATTACCCAAGAGAAACCATAAGAGTAAGAGGCTAGAAAGTCTGCTACTCTATTTCCTTCACGGTGAATGTGAGACATATAAATCTGTCAATCTCGCTGCATCAAATTTCGAATACGATTCACCAAATTAGCCGCAGGGTAATCATGGTGGCACCCATTTGTAATGAGCTGTTGAGCTGAAAGAGAATCTCCTTCGAGCCAAACTTGCCTAAAACCTCTATCCCAAGCTAGCTCCAAACCAACCAAGCAAGCCCATAACTCAGCATGCAAAACTGTACCTGAGCCTAAATTTTTACAGAATCCGACGATCCAAGTTCCTGAGGCATCGCGAAAAACTCCTCCACACCCAGTCCTAGTACCATTAGCATCACATGCACCATCAACATTAAGCTTAACCCAATCCACAGGAGGACAACACCAAGCAACCAATCTCTCTATTCGATTCCTTGGTTGATTGCCCGCTCCAAAAACAGGGTTAGCTGCAAGAGCGACACTATCTCTGAAACCAATTGCTGAACGGATAAGTGAATAAGCATTCTGGCGATCACCTTCAAAAACCCAAGAATTCCTACATTTCCAAATTTTCCAGGCTAAGATTCCAAATAAAAGAGGCCAGTCTGACCCCATCCCCCAATCCTTTGAGCTGTCTAAATTAGAAATGATCCAATTGTGCAGGTTGAGGTTGAAAAATTCACGCTGATTTATATGAGGCATTATCATGCACCATACTTCCTTTGATTGTGGACAGTCGCGAATAGTATGAAGGATAGTTTCACTAGACTGATTACATCTAGGACACAGATCTGAAAGAGCCATATGGCGGCGGAGTCTACAAACATTAGTCATCAGCTTCTCCCCTGCCATTAACCAAAGAAAAAAGCGAATTCTTTCTGGCCCCTGCCATCTCCAAACACTTTCCCAAGGAAACTGTTGGATTGTAGTATCTTTGATGGCTAATATTGCATATGCTGACTTAACAGTAAACTTGCCATCTGTCGTTCCATTCCAAATTAAATGATCCTGGCCATCTTGACTAGAAGGAGGAAGAAAATTCATAAATCGATGCAGCACAGAATCTGGAAGCAATTGTCGAAGAGAATTCCATTTCCATTGCCCCAATTCATCCCGTAGTCCACCACCTTCTGAAGAGTATCACTAATAGAAAACTGAAAACCTGCATATGAGATCAAAGGACCACAATCGGGCAGCCAGCTATCAAGCCAGAACATAGTGGACTGACCATTGCCTAACTGCACCCGACTATGATCCATTATAATATTCCAATGACGCGTAATTCCCTTCCAAAGCTGGGAGCTGCTGTTTGGAGCATGAATAATTGGTGTCATGCCTGCCTCCACATTGTACTTAGCACGTAAGAACTTTGACCACAAGGCATCTGGATGAGCTACGAGGTTGAACCCAACCTTCATGATAAATGCTGAGTTCATTTCCCTCATACTCCGCAGTCCAAGGCCTCCATTTTTTTATCCATGCAAATCTGCTTCCAGGCCACAAGATGAGAACGTCTAGAGTGTGGAGATGAACCCCAAACAAAATTTCGAATCTTCCTATCAATCTCTTCACAGGTGACTTGCGGTAATGAACACACCTGCATTGGATATGATGGGATTGCTAATAACACTGCTTTAGATAATGTAACACGACCTGCTAGAGATAGACTGGCATGATTCCAAGCAGCAATTCTAGAATTCATTCGATCCAAAACATAAGAGAAAGATGACCGACCCACTCGCTTATGATGCAAAGGAATTCCCAAGTATCTTCCAAGATCTGCAGTCAAAGAAAAACCAAGAAGCCCACTAAGATGGTTTGCTTGAGTATGACCCACATTCTGAGAAAAGAAAACTCTAGTCTTACTATGATTGACTTTTTTACCAGATGAATCACAAAATATATGTAAGGCATGTTGAATTATTAACACTTGCTCCTGAGAAGCTTCTGCAAACAAAAGGAGATCGTCAGCAAAAAATAAGTGGGAAATTTGTGGAGCTCCCCTTTTAATCCTCACTGGCTTCCACCTCCTGTGATCCACTGCCTGAGAAATGAGATGGGCTAGTCTTTCCATGCAGAGGACAAAAAGATAAGGAGAAAGAGGATCTCCTTGTCTTAAGCCTCTAGTTGGCCGAAATTCTTTAGTACAAGCCCTATTCCAAAGAACATTCATAGTGCAAGATGAAACACACAACATAATTAGTCTTATCAAATTTTCAGGAAGCCCTACATCAAATAGGGTATCCTGAAGGAAATTCCAACTGATCCTATCGTATGTTTTCTCAAGATCAACCTTGATCGCCATCCAACCTTTAGATCCTCTCTTTTCCTCATTGAATGGATTAGCTCTTGAGCAATTATGACATTATCCGTACCTTGTCTACCTCTGATAAAACTGCACTGATTAGGCATCACCAGCTTGTCCATCTGCAATTTTAAACGGTTAGCAACAATTTTTGTTACCGTTTTATAAATAACATTACACAAGCTAATCGGACGAAAATCCTTGAAAGTATGAGGATTCTCAAGTTTAGGAATCAAGCAAAGAAGAGTCTGATTCACTTCTTCTATACGACTAGGATCATTGAAGACTCCCTTAATGAAATTACAAACAGAGCTCTCCACTACATCCCATTGGCTTTGAAAAAATATGCTATGAAGACCATCAACACCAGGCGCTTTAAAAGGCCCCATTGAGAACACTACTCCTTTAATCTCTTGACTACTAGGGCAGCTCTCAAGAGCCATCATAACTCTCCTTTCCATTTCTGGGAATTTGTTCCTAATGGGAAAATTAGGCCGGAGAGGAATATCTTCCTTATATAAATTATCATAGTATTCCACTGCCATACTCA